GGCCGGAGCTCGGGGGGAGCCCCGAAGTCAGGGCGGCAGCTGCCCCCCTCAGCCCCGCGGCCAGGTCACGTCTGTAACGGCCATGACACCATCCGCAGCTTTATTTGTGCATTTATTGACGAGGAAAGGCTGCAGCCTCCTCCAGCGAGAGCAGAGGGGTGGGTGGATTTTGTCCGCGCCTCCCTCAGGCTTCCTGCGAGCCCAGCCTGGAGTCCAAGCACTGGCCGAGCCACTGGAGAGGCCGCTGGTGCTGGGGATGTTCCTGCCGGACCCGGCGGACGATGGCGTTAATGGTGCGGAGCCGGTCCTGCAGTTTCTGCTGCTCGCTCCTCCAGGCTTGCTCGGTGCGGCACAGGGGAGCGTACTTCCCTTCCTTCAGTGCCTGCAGGTGCTTCTGGCGCGTCTGGTAGGCCACGATCTCCAAAAGGTTCTGAGGAAAGCAACAACAGCAATTGCTTCACGCAGAAAAGAACTAAGAAAATTACAGGATTTTTGGCACAGAGGTACTGTAAATGTCATCTTCTGAAATTGAAGGGCTTCTGAAAAAGGACACCGCTGTGAAGTCCCCATTATAACAACCAAACAGCATCCCACGTCTGAGTACAGTCACGGCACAGAATTCCATAAATCGGAGAAATACCCACACCTCCAAGGCAGCCCCTGCCAGGACAGAGCTTCCCCGAGTTAAAAACTTTGCAGGAGGTCATTCAAGACCTTGAGCTGGCCCCCAAATTGGTAACATACTTATGAGCAGCCAGCTGGCACTCACCAAGGATAGCTGTTACTAGATATTTTCAAGATACAAATGATGTCTGTCTGGCTTGTGTTTCCAGGTGAATGCCTCACCAAGTGTACAACGGCAGCATCAGCTCAGCACCACTACCAGCCTCAAAATGTGCTCAGTTCACTTAAAGTGTTGCTAAAATCACATGCCAAGCACTCCCGCTCAGGGGGTGGCAACAGAAGCAAGCAGCAGGCTTGGCTCGCCTGCTGCAAGGAAGCAGAGGCACTCACCCATCGTTTCTTGTTCCGAAGACATTCTGTGTCCGAATCGAGGCCATCGGACTCAGCCTGCAGCCTGCACAGTTCTTGCTGCTTTTCTGAGTAGGAGGCACTAAGGGATGCTCGGGTGCTCTCCAGCTCCAGGATGGTTTTGTTGCAGTCTTGAGTGTTCTAGTAAACGGAAGAGCAGGAAATGGCAGATTCTGGTTCTTTAGTTCAGCTGCGGTCCCGGCCATCTTCCCAGAACTATTTTATTTTATTTTTAATGAGTTTGCAAAGACTGTCCTCTGTGCAGTGCTGTACCCGGGCAGGTGCAGGGTCTGTGTACCCACACCCCGGGTGTCTGTGCCAAGTGCGCGCTGGTGCTCATTACAAGGCAAACACAGGCTACGGGAACTCTCGCAGCCCTGCTTTACTTGCTCACCTTCTGGGTTTCGCTGATCTTCTTTCTCAGCTCCTCTTTCTTGCGGTGGAAGTCACCCTTGGTGATACGTTTCTGATCTGTTTTGTTCTGACCCTCTCCACGAATCGCTATCGCCTCTCTATGAGAAACAGATGCCTCCATATCACGAATCATCTTCTCCTGCTGCTTCATCAGCTGGCCATAGCGGACCTGCCATTTGTGAAGATATAAAATAGGCTGAAAATAACAAATGGTTATGAAGGGCACCTAACTGAAGTCTTCTGTGTGGCACATCCCCCCAACATAAACCAGACACACATGACAAATGAGCCTTGGCAAGCCAAATTTGCTCTAAATCCAAACCTAGTTTGTCCTGCGTGGATCTGGAAGGCAGAGGGCTGGATTATCAACTCGCCTAAAATAATCTTCAAAGCATTTCACTGCAACTCAATAGCAAAAGCAGAAGAGCAGAAGCATCCAGAGAACGAAAGGGAAGAGCTGCTTTGCCACAAGATAGAAGACTTCCCTAACCAGTGATTAAGATGATGCAATATTGAGTAATCAGTATTTCTTTGCTTATAAATTGGGGTCACGGAATGAGGTGGCAGATGTATCACAATTTAAATAGATGTCTCAGGTATATCCAGATTCCGCTGCAGTCTATTACACAGCATGCACAAGGAACGCACAACGTGCATGCATGCTGGATGTATTTAATTCAATCTAGCTGCAGGGTGGTAAGATTTCCCATACTGCTATGGCCTTGGAGGTGCCCCTTCTCCAGCCCGTTTCTCATCTCCTGCCTTATGTTTCAGCAAGTCCAAAGCCGAACACATTGTGTGCAGCCTCCCCCCGCCCCCCGAGTCCTCTTCCCCAGTGGCTTACTTGCATCCTATGAATCTCTGTTCTCATGGCTTGGAGTTCACCTTGTCCTGTCGTAGAATCCACTGCTGCACGCATCTCTTTTGTCAGCTGGATCTTTTTCTCCCATAGCATGATTTGATGCCTTCAATGACAGAAAGGGAAAGCAGCGCCTTTGTAAGCAACAGAGAGGATGCTCTCTCTGTGCGCCAGT